TTTTTTTTTTTTTTTTTGGTTTTTTGAGACAGGGTCTCACTATGTAGTTGAGACTGACCTGGAACTCACTACATCACCCAGGCTGGTCTCGAACTCGCAGCGATCCTCCTGCCTCAGCCTCCCAGGTGCTGTGCTGGGATTACAGGTGTGAGCCACCACACCCAGTCAGAATATGTTTAAATCTATACAAACATGCTAAATTGTCTTCCAAAATACTAATAACAATTTGCATTCCCACAAATGGTGAAGGAGTTTATGCAGCTTTCCCCTTCTTACGACCTGGAGTTATCCATGTTTTGGATTTGGGCCTTTCCATTAAGTGGAGAGTAATCCTATTGGTGTTTCAATGTGCAGTTCCAAAAGGACATATGATATTAATTTGCTTTTGTACATGTTTGCTTTCCATTTCTGTATCTTTGTTGATGAGTTATGTGTTTGGTTCCTGTGCTTGTTTTTCAGTCAAGTTGTTTACTTTTTCTTTAGCTCCAAGAGATATCTATAAAATAACTAATTATTGTTTTACACAATAGTACATGATAGTAAAAAAAGTACAGTATTTCCTAACACCATCGAGGCGGTTTGTGATTCTTGCATACAGTGAATATGTCATGTGCACACGCATTTGGGTTGACATCATTCATGATGTGCCACACGGACAGTAATTATACTGCCTATACAAGTAATCTAGACACCACTTATACATCCAATACTCCTTCACTGGAAAAATATATATGTATATATGATTTTAAGGACCTTGTATAAGAATTAAATTCCTCCAGGGCTTCAAAGCAGTGAAACCTGTAGCATAAAGACTAGCTAGTTACATCACGGACCAGGACTGGAAAATCATAAAATGCAGTAATTCCGACTTTTTTTTTTTTAGAAATTTTTATCATGAAGCCAAACATTGACATATTCTAATTATTTATTTTGTAAGTGAGCAAAGTCTAAAGACAGCAAACACGTAGCAATAGCCAAGTAAATTGAAAATCGATCAGTTGTAGTGAACTTACTCCACACATGCGCAACAGGCTTGCAGAGCCCTCTGCCCCAGAAGCCAGGTCTCTCCAGTGTCACCTTAGCAACTGAGCATCAAATAGCAAAGAAGGGCGGAGCCATGCGCATGCCTGGAAAGGAGGGGGGTGACGTCATAAATGGGACTCTCCTGATCAAGCTTTAACATGGCTAGTCCATGTTCAAGTTTAGCTGCAGGGTTGGACCTTTGCAATAAATAAGTGGGTTTGGGTTGCAGTTTGGGCACTGGATCTCTAAAATATTTCCTATCATTGAGATAGATGATAGTATTTTATTGATTTTTTTACATGTACTCTTTTATTTTGGGGGGGTACTGGGGATCAAACTCAGGTCCTTGCACTTGCAAGGCAGGCAGCAGAACCCCTGAATTAAATCCCCAGCCCATTTTACGTGTACTCTTATGGGCTGCAAACATTTGGGCAGTTAGAGCTTAGCATCCAGAGAGATGCATGGAAAACAACGTGAGACTGTAATTTAGGGGATCTGTTAATTGGACAGTGTGCTCTGAAATCCGTGAGCCCCCTACTGAGTTTTAGGTTTGGTTATCTCAGATGAGAGGGGCACATTCAGGGTGGTACGGCCATAGACAGCTTGGTCATCTCGTACACAAAATAGAGATTACATATAAGGGTATCTAAATCACTTTTCTTTCTAATACTCATTCAACACATGGTTTCCGTTGCACACTCACCAATTTATTCAAAGGTTTGTACAGCAGGAAGTATGAGGTCACAAATTTGTGTTCAAATCATTCTCTTATTTAGGAGGTAATATCTTTTCTCTTAGAAACATATTTGTTTATTTTCTATATTTTGTTCATTTTAACTTTGTATTCCTTCTACAAAAGTCAAGTCATTTTCTAAGCAAAACTATATTCAGATAAGCCTGTCTTATCATTGTGAATAAATATTTAATACAATCCACTTGACAGACCAGAGACTCGTTTTTGGCTCTCCGTTTTGGAGCCTTCATTCCAGGGTCAGTTAATTCTCTGATTTGGGGCTTCTGGTAGGCAGAAGACGAGCAGAAGCAGATATTAGAGGAAAGTGTTTGGAATTAGAAGAAGGGGCCAAAGTCCCAATATCCCCACCAGGGGCACACACACTGGGATCTAACTTCCTGCAGCTATGTCCCACACGAAGGATCTGCCACACCGCAATAGTGACAGGGACTGGAGACCAAGCCTCTGGCACTTAAACTTCTGAGTGGCAGTTAAGGTCCAGACAACGTCCATGTGACATCTGTTGGTGTCTAAACATACCTGAAAACAAACAAACAAATAAACAAAAACTCTGTTTTGTATGCAAAAAAAGTCAGCTTTTCTATTTATTTCTTCTTTCTTTCATTTTTTTGGGGGGGTACTGGGGATTGAACTCCGGGCCTTGCACTTGCAAGGCAGGCCACTGAAACGCTGAGCTAAATCCCCGCCTCTCTTCTTTCTTTCTTAATGGGAAAAAAAAAAGATGAGTTTTTAAAAGTTTTCACTATCACATTTTGCTTCAGCCATACCCAAGATTTCTCCTCCAAACTCCTTTTCTATCTCCTCAACGAATTTTTCTATTATTAAAAAATATTTTATGAGATATGAATCTACTTAAATTACTTTTAAAACCTTTGTGCATTGTAAAAGTATAGTATAAATGAAGTTTATATTATGTTAACCAGTTAAGTATAGCCTGTTTTACTTAAACTAAAATATTAGATACTGAATCGTTTGTAAGAAAGTAGATCTTTTATTATAGCATAATTAGTAAAATTGCTTCAACTGATAATTCCTATTCCGAGAATATATCCTGCTAAGAAATGCTGATGCCATATTTTAAATACAACTGAGAAATTATTTACTATTTTTCTATTAGAATGACGCCAATGCGATCCAATATTAATCCAAAATTTTCATGAATTCCTGAATCCTCTTTTTCAAGAGCTAATTAATTGCTCGGTATTGACTTGGCTCAGTATTCTAACTAACTGCACAATGAATAATTTAAAGGACCTTAAAGTAATTACTTCCCACAGTTGGCATAATTAGCTCCAATTTATAGAAAACAATGAATGCAAGTTTTAAATGATAACTTATCTATTTGGTAGAAGTTTCTAAAATGACTAAATCTTATGATACAGTCAACCCCTCGAGCCCCAAGAAATGAGTCTATGAAGCTTAGGAAAACCGTTCCTCCCTTGGAGCACGGGCCTGCTATTTAATAAACTACCCCTTCAGTGTGCAAAGTGCTGCCCTAAGGGACTGAAAGTTGAGACTTGCTCCTAAAATGCTAATTTGCAGTAAGGGAGCAGTTTACTCACCTGACAAGTGCTGACCTAATGCATCATATTCTGAAATGCTAGCGGATTTGAGCAAATAGAATTGATAGCAAGTGAAAGCTGCAAAAGGATATGTTTTTTTTTTTTTTCATTTCTAAATTTCCAGTCCCTGATTCACCAGTCTATGATTTCACAAAGCAGACCCCTAACGAGGGCATGGGGACCTCATATGACATTATAACTCAGCAGCTCTTGTCCAGTTTTATTATACGATAAATCTTAGATTTTTAAAAATCAATTCAGTTGTTGCCACTTAAGACAAATTAATTCTACAAGTTTTTCTCTTTTTGCATACAGCTTTTCATACCACTTTTACATGGCGAAGAAACGTTCCCAAGATAAAGAAAATATGATACATTAGAAAAGAATGCAGTTTAGTGAAACATTTTTAGAACATATTTTATTTTTTAAAAGACCTTTAGAAATGATTTTAGACTTCACCAAAAACGGTGACAAGTGCTGGACCATTAACACTATTTCAGCTCTCTGGAGAAGAAGTGCCATTAGTATCAATTTTCTAATGTGCCTGATAAGGTACTTTAGTGTAATATTAAATATACTTTTTGACACATTCTTTCAGTGCCATTTTAGTAAATGTAAATGACAGAATCTAATGAAAAGTAAAGTGCATAACTCCAGTCAAGGCTATTCAAAAGTTTGGACTGGTCCAAGGGGACAATTGAACTGAAAGTGTGCTATTTGGATATTAATGAAAGGGATAGTTGGAGAAGTGGATGGAAAATTCTCTGTGCATTCATTTAACCTTGATCTAAACCCTGTGTTTCTAACTTCAGCTGTTGAAAATTTCTCTATATTCAGGGTACTGTGCAATTTCTAGGGACAAGCAGAATCATAAAATTTTAAACTTATGAAGGAACAAATAAGATCTCTAGTTATAATATCTTTTAATGAAGAGGGAAGATTAAGTAACAAACAAGAAAGGATCCTTGCAAGATATTGTACAGTTAGATAATAGCAGAGGCATATTAAAATGAAGGACATTTTCTTTAAGTCAAATTATCTTCAAAATAATCAAAATAATTTAAATGTTCATCTGTTTCAAAAGGTGACAAAAATGAAGACAGAAATCTTATTTTTTTTAATTGAAAAGAAACTATAAGTTTTCTTTGATAAATCTGGAAGTCTTATTCAAAGGGCACATGGAAAGTCATCATTACCATACTTCTTTTGCTTTCTCTAGCATTGCTTTGGAAATAACTGACTTTTAGAATTTTATGAGCCTTCAGTAAGTTGAGACAGCTTCTCTTTCTATAATCGAGGCTGAGTTTGAACTTGCTAGGTAGCCAAGGATAGCCTTGAAGTTGTGGTCCTTCTGCCTCAGCCTCCCAAGTTCTAAGATCACAGGTGTATGACAAAAAGCAGTAGTAGATATTTTTGAAAAAATTTAATGGCAATAACATTTTTGAGCTGTAAACTAGCACTTCTCTTTTTGAGAACGTTCAGTCTATAATTACCCCCTTGAAAAGGTAGGGGTTATTTGCTCAATAAATGAGGAGATAACCCTTAAAGTAGTCCAAAGTAGGATACAGAGGAAATATCCTCGGCAGGGGTTGGGGAAAAGCACTCCATTCATTCTCTCTGAATTGCAGGGGAAAGTGAATTAGACAGAGGAAGTAAGAAGTAATACACTGTCTGATGTCCATATTTTAGGTGCCCAAGTTGGTAACTATGATATTTTATTATAGAAGCAATTGAAAATTATGGCATTTTGTTTAAGGAGAAACCTAGAAACAAAAAAGATCTATCTACCTATCTATCTATCTATCTATCTATCTATCTATCTGTCTGTCTATCTATCATCTTTTGTTTAATGACATGAGAAGAGACCCAGATGGAGGGTGACCACATGCCATCAGGAGTATGAGTAACACAGCAATCACCAAAGAAGCTGTTATGAGTCTAAGGTGTGCTTATGACTGACTCCTCTTTGCATGCTGTAATCGCGGGATCTGGAGGTCTTCTCATGGCCAGGTGAAGGATTAGGTACATACAAGGGAGCATACTGACAGCAAATGACTATAGTCACAATGGGTGAAACAAGCTATTCATTGATTTAGTCCTGGAAGCAAATATTGAAGCTGATAGTCTCCAGCTGTGAGTATTAGCATAGCAGTGTCAAAGGCCAGATGTGGAACATTACAATGACTTGTCCTTGGTCAAGAGACTGCAAAGATACGAGTACCACTGCACATGACTTTGTGGAAAGCACCTATTCTTTTCTTCACTGTGACTACAGAAAGAGATGCATTATACTCAATCCTTCATCAGTTTAACAAAGGAAAGAAGGAGAAATAAGAGCACTCAAAATTTATCCAAGAGAGCACCTGAACTGAAAAGGAAACCTATACACATTTAATTTTTAATTTCAATTTGTCATTCTATTTTATTCTTTAAAATCATTCCATTGTTTCTCAGCAGAACACAAACTCATCAAAAATGTTAAATAAATTACAGACAGAAAGAAACTTCACATTTCTTTGAGTATTTAATGTAGCATGGTGTGCAAATTTTCAATCATGAAATCCAACTTAGAATATAGGTAAGATTAAAAATAGATCAAAGACACATTATGGCACAGCTGTCAAAGGAGCATACGTGTCTATTCTTGGATAGTCCCCGAGTCTCTTAGAACGATAGAAAAATTCTAGAGAGGTATATAATTCACATCTTTGATCAGATAGTTTATCGAGACTCTGAA